GCGTCGCGGAATGGAGTACTCAGGGGTAGATACGTAACGCGTAATGCTGCATCCTCATAACTTTCCAGAGTGTAAGGTCTTTCGTCTACCTAGAATAGAAAATAGCATAAACTATCATATCTCGAAGAAGCTACTGGAATATACCTGAGATGGATACTTAGCAGATCCATAATCAGAATCTTGAAATGGACGGATACATTCCAAGAAATGTTTGATGTTCATCGCACCATGGAGTCGTGTCGGTAAACAATTTGACTCCTTCGATAGCAGAATTGACGATATTCCAGCGATGTTATCCCATGTAGCTAAAAACACCAACAATGGAAAAAAAGGAAAGATATCCGAAATGTAATGGTCAAGAAAAAAAACTGGAATGCAAACCAACACCGCGTGATAAAGATGTCGTTGACATTTATGGCCTTCATGCGAAGCTGAGGTAAGAATCGTGAAGCCCCTTCTGGGCAGTTGAACAGGTAAGTTTTCAGTGGTGTGCGCAAAGCTACACATGGTCGCATGTGGCAGGTCCCATTGCCCAGAATCTAAAATAATAATAAATTGTAATATTAATATTAGTACTTGTATCCCGACTTCATGATGTGTCACTTCATCAAAAGGCTGTTAAAAAAATGCAAGCAATTCAGCATAAAGAGAAATAATCTGTTGTAAACTCTTAATTAGGAAACAATATAACATGTACAAAAATTTACCAAGATTCTACACTGACCTACCTCAATCGATACGTGAGACGGAATGTTAGCTATAGAATTTGCCTGAGCGTCAAATGCTTCCCGTTGCTTTTGTTGTGCACTATTCATGGAGATGCGAAGATTAGCGATTGAGGAGCTTAACTCACGTGCTCTGAAAACGAGAAGCAATTGAACCATTAAAGATTCCTCACCTTGAGAAAAACATGCAAGAAGTAGGATCAACAACACTCACTTAATGTGCGATAACGAATGTTTTCGTAAGATCTGCTTGTTTAAGGCAATCTTCCGTTGAATTTCAGCTAAAAAGTCTTGATCCAGATATGCTTTTTCGTCCTTTTTGTTGTTTCGTAATGGACTTGAGACAAGTACTGATCTGGTCCTTAAATCAGTAGCAAATAAGACAAAAGAGCTAAGGAATGGAACCAGCTTAGCGCTAAGCAATTTCGAGAAACAAATGACCTTAACGAAAACTTCCAATTTATTCACTTGATTTTTGGAATAACTGTTGTTTTTTTTAAAGAATCCAGTTTTTATTTTGGAGAGACCATACATTTCTTAACAGCTATTGATTTTCACAAGTCTTCTCAAATTTTATTCTAAAGCGCTTGCTATGCAAGTGCAGATAGTTAGAATTACAACTAAGCATTGAAGTGGGAAGAAAGTTTGAAATCATAGGATAATCATGAAATAGTTTCACACCATTGCAAATCTCCCCGCTGAGATGTGCTTTATCAAAGCAAAAAAGGTGAAACTATTAGAACAGCGTCTGATGTTTAAAACTGTCAGTTGACTGACTAATGTTTATTCGATCACCCATACATACTGATAATCCAAAGAAGAAAAAACATTTTCTCTCTGAAAA